CTAGAATGTCTGTTTCCTAAAGAGGTTAGTGTTTTTTTTTTCTTCCTCCTTCTCCCACCTCTCCTAAGAGAAAATACTTCACATTTGTCTGGTTAAAAAGAAAAGATTCAGTAACAGTTTCTAGGTCTTTAATGCTGCAGTTGAAAAAAACAGTGGCAAGTTTAAAGCTATTTAATTCTTACAGATCACTTCAAACACTGCAGAATGAGAGATAATCTTGGGCTTCTCATTCTTTAGCTATATAAGCCAGAAGCTTGAATTTCTGGGCATTCACTGCAGAGATATCATTAATCATGCAAAAGATAACACATAATATCTGGATTATACAATGGATGTTTTGTACTCTGTTGGAAATGCAAACACATGTTTGTCACCACAGCAAAACTTGATCTGTCTTACCAAGACAAGCCCGAGTAGAAGTCCTGCATCAAAACACAAGACCACAAATTTGGTATACCACAAATTTTATCCCACTCAGCTAAGTGGAATGGCACCTTCTTGCCAATTTTGCCATAGCAGGCCAAGACTGTACCCACTAACCACCATTGTGGACAGATAAGCACATAGCTGCCTACAGCATCAGAGGTTTAGCAGCACTCATTAAGGCTTTTGACCACAATGCTTAGTTCTTTCAAAGGTACCAGTGAACTTCAGCTTGGGGTATCTTCAAGGGCTCCCAAAAGATGAAAGGCAAGAATCAATCACTTCATTGTTTTTTATCAAAACCAGAGGAACTTGAAAAGGTCAATACATTTCTCCTTTCGTAAAAAGTCAGACACCATCCTCTATCAATTGACTTCCAAATGGCAGAATGTTTTGCCTTTCTGTCTCTCCAAAAGGTTCTTTAGTCATCAAGAAAGACCACCTCACCCTGCCAGCTCGTGTTAAGATATTAGCTGGCTTCCCAGGGCAAAACAGTGAGAAAGAATCTGAAAATTCAATGGACTATCAGGAGAAGATCCTTAGCAATTCTCTAGCATGGTGTTCTTGTGACACTTGAAAGGGGTCTTTGTGTGGGAAGCCTGTTAACCGAATGCCTCGCAACTTCTGGAAACAGAGACCTAGCTGAATATAAGATAATTATTAAATAACTACTTTGTAAACCACCCAGAGTCACTTTTTAACGAGGTGGGTGGTGACAAATTTGATATATAAATACAAATAGGCCAAAGTTGCTTTCTGTAGAGTTTCATGACTGAACCTCCTTATTTTAATCTGGATATCAAAAAGAAAAAGGAAAAAAAATTTTTTTTC